CACACCTCCCCCGCAAAATAAGACTCTGATTCCAAGGTATTTTGGACATTCATTGATACTCATACCTGTGAGAGTGAAGTGTCTTTGTCCTCTCTAGCTTCTTGTGGACAGATAGCTCACACCTCGTTTATTTCTCTTATTTCCATTTTCAGCATAGTGTCTTGCCATGATACCTGTCCAAAAGTGTTTGCTGAATATATGGCCTCTTGGGCTTAGTATTTAATTTTGCTGTATTTAAGTCTATTTTCACATTCAAAAAACATTAGGTACCTTTGTTTTTCGTTTAATTTTGCTAGGAGTGTATACTCATGGGATGAGGGAAGAAAGCACCCCCCAGGGGCTATGATCACTCTGCCATTCCTTCTCTTCCATTTCTTCATCGTGTGGGCAGTTGGCGGGGCGGGAGGGAGGGTGTGCACACACATCTTGTGTGTTTTTCAGTCACCTGGACCAGGATGTGAACTGGGTCATGGGAGAGAGTTGGTTAAGAGAGTTCATCACTAGACCATGGGACCTATTTTAGAGTTGGATCAAGGTGGGTAGCCTCATATTCAACTTTACCAATTAGTAGCATGTCTTTTCTAAAATGCCTGAGCACAGAATTCTTCAACAGTTATATGTGTGTGTGTGTGTGTGTGTGTGTGTGTGTACACACATAATTCACTCAATTAACATCAGGCAAACATTTACTGAGTACCTACGATGTACTAGGATTTTTAGTTTTTAGAGAGATTTTTGCTAAAGGGCATATGTGACTGTCAGAGAGAAAGAAAGAGACAGAAAGTGAGAAACACCCCCCAAAGGGGGCTGGCTATGCTGCAATCCCTTCTCCATTCTTCTGTCAGGATCTTGGGTCCACACGCATTCGGCATAAGTTTAAGTCACCAGGTCCAGGACTCGAACTGTCAGGGGCCACTGCTTGACTCAGTCAATGGAACCGAGAACCCCTGGGCAAGCCGGGATTTGTGCTAGATTGCAGTGTGGAGCGTAGGGGTGAGTAGAGAGCCTGGGAGGTGTGGTCTGCGTGCCGGTGACAACAGCTCAGTTCTGGTCCTCATCAGTATTTAGGAAGGAGCTTCCCCTCAACCCCTTCTGGTGAAGTTGAGGAGTGTTCAGCCTAATGTGTTTTCTTGTGTTTAATATTAAAAGTTGTGTCCAAAATGAAGAGATTTTAGTGTTTTCCCCCTTTGCCATATGTTGGGTTTTTAGTTTATCCTTGGGAAATAGGACACGTCTTTGGTTAATAGACATTTGAGGTGCACGAAATGAAATGCCGTGAAAGCAATTCAGATGGAACTGACAGGTATGAGAATGGGGCTCAGCTGCTCCCAGCTTCTCAGCTTGATGACAGTGTTGCAATAAATAATCAGAAACTGGGCAAAATGATAGCAAGTGTCAGTTTAAAGTTTTCACTTGTCAAAACTAAGATTGTCTTATCACCAAACCATTGCTGGGCTAAATTATGCTACCTTTTATCTTCCTGTTCATTGGAAAACATTCTTCACCCGCATTTTATCTTTAATCCGAAACTGTGTTCGAGCGCTTCGCAGGCTGATTTCCAATCTACAGGTGTGTTCGTTTCTCCTTACTTCATTTAATGAAGGAGTCTTAGTTTGGTCAAAAAGCAATGGTTAGACTCTTCTGTTTATTAGTCTCAGTTCCTGTCATTTACAGTTCCAACTTAAACAACTGGGAACTGTCCTAGTCAAGGAAATTCTTTTCAGTTTTATGAGGAAGTTACTCACATTTTATCTGTGCAACAGAGAAAATCGTCAAGAATATCAAGGTTTTATATGTCTAGGGAGCCATTATGATGTAACTTCTGATCTTTGAAGGAAGACTGAGGTTCATTTAGTGTAGTACCAAATTTCTAAGAAGCATTAGCCAGTTTATTTTCAACAAAATGGGAATTACTTGACTCCTGTGGGGCCAGAGTGAGCTATTGAGAACATGGCAGCTGCAGGGTGAGCTGGGCAGCACCCTGACCAGTCCCTTGACTGGCCAATGAAACAAGACCCACCCAGCAAGAGGGAGCGACTGTCCTGTAACTGCCCCCCAGGGGAAGGCCCAAGTTTAGACAAAAATGTCTTCATGGATATTCGACACTGGCCTTTCATCAGAAGGTTTGGTTTTGTCTGAATTTCTTTTCTTGAGATAAGAAAAATAATTCTACTTTAATATCATTGTTATATGTAAAGCTATAATAAGTAATAGGAAAGCTATATTGTTTCTTTGCTTATGCAGGATTTTCTATCTTGGGAATATCAAAGTGTCACTCTTGTTTCAGCTGGGCTCTCTTCTCACCATAAATTATACTTGAAGGCAAATTTGGACTACAGAGAGAGAGAGGAGGGATTTGAGCCAGAGAGGGAATTAAAGCAGTCGTAACTTACTATAACTATGCAGCCATAAGTTCCACGTGGACCCTGACTTGTGTTTCTGAGCATGAGGAGGGATCATGTGATTCTGGGGGGAGCAAACATGTGACCTTCCAGAAGAGCAGCTGGGCAAGTTGGAGTCAGGCAGGAGCTGCCCACCAGAGGTGGCCTGCTATGGTGAGCAGAACCTGCCCCTCATGAACCGTTCAGTACAGGATGGCAGTAGGTGCTGCCACCTGTAAGTGTGTGACCCTGAGCAGGTGGCTCATCCTCTGAATCTCAGTTTCCATATACATAAAAACATCGAGAGTCTTTTCAATTGAGTGACATCAACATGTGAGAGGCCATCTGGATGGCAGCAGTCTGGCTCATGATAGTCCATTCCTTTCTCACCCTCTTCCTTCCTTCTGAATCCTCTTGGAATGCCAGCCCTCAATTTGAAGACCATTTTTGAAAACTCTGAAACTATGTGCCCCTCTTTGGGAAAACTGCACATTGGTGTATATGATGGGTCAGCTGTAGGGGTGACTTACTTTATTCCTGGACACATCTAAAGGAATGAGTGGAGCTTAACAGAGCACATTCCAGAAAGCCTGTGTTACACAGAGTGCACATCCTAACAGGCCGGCATGTTACTCTGTGTCATTAACTTATAAGATGTGACTAAACCAGAATATCAAGGCGTGGCCTGTATTCTGCACATGGAGGACACATTTTATACCGAGACATATTCTTCTTGCCCAAGCATTTCATTAAGACTTGTTAGCTCTATTTGGTTGAAATACTTGTACGCACTCCGGTTTTCCAACCTGTTTCCTGCCTCTGCGCTTGCATAAGCTGTCCCTTCTGCCTGGAAGACCCTTGCTGCCACTGCCCCCGTCCATTCTCCTCGGCCCTTCCGCGTCTCCATCTTCGTTTTTCAGGTAACTGCACAAGCATCGCATTCTCCAGGAAGCCATCCATGACACACCGGAGTGGCCAAGGTGCCCCTTCTCCATACACCTAGTCACTCTGCACAGTGAAGCTCTGCTCCAGGGCAGGAGAAGGACGAGAAACAATGGAAGCTGCTGTCATGGGAAAGCGCCTACTCCTGGGAGATTGGGGGTTCTCTGTGGGAGTGGCCTTAGGCCAGAAACTGAATAGGAAATAGCTGGAAGAGAAGAGAGAAGAGTATTTTGGCAAAAGGGATAGCACATTGAAGATCCATCTCTCCTTGAGAGGAACTTGATTAGAGCTCCTGTTGCCTATTTTGTCTTAAAAGCATTTCCAGAATGTGCCGTAGTCCTTGGGTTTGATGATTGGTCTCTGGGGTCATTACTGAGAAAGGAAGCGTGAGGGGAAGCCTAGGTGGGGTGTACCAGCAAGTCTCTTTGTGGTCTAATAGATTGAGCTACACTGTTTTCAGGGAGAGTATGGGCGGCTTCTCACCTTCCTGTTCTGCAGTATCCTTATCTATGAAGTGGGCGTGGTGATTCCACTTACCTCGGCCTTTGGGTGTTGTGAGGACTCTAGATGCCTCACAGCCAGCAGAACAGAGCGCACTCACAGCAGGGACCATGCGCTTCACATTGTGACTCCGTAGGGGTTAAATAGTTAAGCTGGCTCCTTCTCCATTTTTGGCTAGAAACTTTTTTCCTGGTAGTGTATGAAGTTGACATAATGGGAATGTTTATTTCCATAGCAGTCCAAGATAACAAATTCAGAATGTTTGCTTTCCTAGAAAACAAAGTAGAATGAGAAAGAGGAAAGCCTGATAGGATAAATTAGAAGCTCTTCCTCCAATACCCACGATGCTTATAATTTAGTAATAATCTTTATTTTACATGAGTTTTTTCCTATAAAAAAATTACATCTAGTTTAAATTCATTGTAGATCTGTAGCCTGTTTTCCATCATCTGCAGAACGGCAGTTTTGGTAAGGTCTGCTGCAAGGGCATGGTGCATTAGGATATTTGAAGAGGTCTTTGACCTGTGTGACCAAACTTGCAGCTGGGTTGCCGGCTCCACTCACCTGCTCTCCTGTCCCGTAATCACTGATGCTGAGTGGGTGGTGGCCACCTGCTAATGTAACACAGCAGTGCTGGTGAGATAAAGCATCCCATCTTGGTACTCGTTCCTGATGGATCATGTAGTGAAGTGCCCACATTCATAAAGCCCCACGCTCTCTGGTAGATAGGGACAAAGAAGAAATGAAGTCCTAGCCTTTTGTAAACTGCCTGTTAGCCAGGGTGGTGCTTGCCATTCCTCCTTGTTCCTGGAACCCCGCACAAGCCCAGCTGTCATTCTTGGCACAGGTACTAGGATTGTCCACACAGACATCCACCCAGCCCCTGCAGGACAGCGCCGTCTGTGTCCCCTCATGCACATTCGGCACTTACTGCTGGCCAGCTGTGGTTGAGATGTCAGGCATGTGCAGTGTATTAAAAGTGGGAAATTAAGAGAGGGGACTTTGATGATCTGAAAATCCAAGGCTTCTTAGGGCCCTGATACCTCAGTAGGAATTTCTTTCTGTTTTTAGCCTAGCCTGTTATCATTTATCTTTAACTTGTAGAATACTCAGCAAGTGTGATTAGAACTCAAGAGCCCAATCATTTGGCCCTGTCTTTTGTTTTGTTTAATCCAGTGGTGCCGATTACTATGACTACGGACATGGACTCAGCGAGGAGACCTACGATTCCTACGGTGAGTGACTGGCCAGAACAGCCGCATGGAGAGAGGAGAGAGGGCCTTTAAAGGTTTTTATTGATGAGGAAATGTGTGAGGATATTTGTCTGCAATGTTTCAGCTTCCTCTCAGTTCATTTGTGCATATTTAGCTATTTTCAAAAGTTCCTTTAATACTTAAATTTAATGTTTAAAGAGGACTAAATTCTTGCTAAATTTGCATGCGTTTAGATTCAGAACTTAGATTCTCTGGGTTGACTGTTAATTTTCCCACTTTGAGATTAGTTAGCCAAACTGCAGCCACTTGATAGCATGGATCTTTTTGAAGTGTCTTTGCTTTCTGACAGTACAGGAAAATGAAGCAGTTGAGACTACAGTGTGAAAGTGATTCTCCCACCCCATCTTGATATTGTAATTCATTCCTAATCTCAAATCCTCTGAAAAAAAATTACAGTGGGAGTCATTCTTTAAGGGTTATAAAAACACCAAGCCACGGAGGAGATGGGGGTCTGTCAAGCTTGCAGGGAGACAACTAAACCCTCCTTAATTCAGTGAGAGCTGTGGAGATGCTGGAGAATCCTTGTCCGAAGTCTCGATATGCAGAAGGCTGACAGGTTTAATTAAAAGAATTGGCAGCAGCAACATAATGACAGTAAGAAGCGCCTCTGCCGCGGGGCAGAGATCAGAGAACAGGAAGCTTCAGTCAGTTGCCGAGCTCTGATGAATGCCTCGTACCCAGAGCAAGTGAATCGGGATTGTGGTTAATGGATGTGATGACATTTCTCTGAACAGAACTGAAAAACCATTTTCCGGTGTTCCTTTTGAAGTGCATTTTGTTGTATCACCTGCCTGAAGCCCTGATGACCGCACCTTGGATTTTTTTTTTTCGTTACTCGTAACAAACACTTAAGAGAAATAAGTTGGTTGCTGAATGCTGTCTCCTTAAATTGATGCAAGTTAGCTTGAGGGAATGACGTTGATTGCATGTTTCTATCAAAAGAAGAGGTCATTTTAAGCATTTTTCTTTCACAGCTTTTTAAATTGGTCTCTGTGGACACATGGCTCTTAAATTGCTGTATGTTGCAGAAGGGATGTTAACTGTTTGGTGTCGAAGGCCTGTAGATAACTCTTTGGAAGTCCTGAGGCCAAACAGTTGTTTAATTTTAGGAGGTAAACACACAAAATGTCCTTTGTTATAGATACCATTGTCCAGTGTAGATTTTATTTTATCAAGAGTGAAACTTGACATTATAAAGTTATTTCATGTCCAGGAAGTGTTGTCGAAGTGTGTTCATTTTCACCCAGTCTCCCTTCCCTTTTCCCTTCAGTCGTTCTATGAAAAGACCGATGGAGGCAGAAGGAGCATTTCTCTTTCCCCATCTGCCCATTCCCTTTTGGCTCTCCAGACATTTTTCCTGTTTCTCACAGATTTTTATCTGTTTTCTTCCTTGTCTTTGATGTTAGAAGAAATCTAAGGGGTATTTTCCCATTCTTTGCCCCACTCATCAGTGTCTTAACATTAGCAAAATGCAGTTTAGTTTGCTAATTGAGCTTGTGAGCTGTTGTTAAATGAGTAACCAAAAGGAAAGTTCGTCGCCATTTAAGATTCAAAAATTATTTTTCTTCTCATGCTGATGGTTGTTGCTAGTGAGAGGATAGTTTTCCATTGCGTTTGTTATCTTTGTAAATTCCCCGGGGTATCTCTTAGGTACATGGGAGGGTTTGTGTCTTCAATATGACATCTACCACTGGTTCAGGGCTAAGTTCGATTCTGAAAAATGAAGCCTTGGGATCCAGGGTTCTGATCTAACTGTGATTGTCTCACTGATTCTAGGGCAAGAGGAGTGGACTAACTCCAGACACAAGGCTCCTTCCGCGCGGACCGCGAAGGGCGTCTACAGAGACCAGCCGTACGGCAGATCATGATTGTGCTCTGAGGTTGGGG